CCGGGGGGGGAGGGGCCCGGGGCCCGATGCCGCCAGGCAGGGGCAGCCCGGGTGAGTGGTGGGCAGCTTCGGTCCTGAGAGTTGGGACCACACTTCTCCGCACTGAGGGAAACTCTGGCGGCTCCGCCTGTAACGCGATTGGGAGACAGAGGAGGTGGAGCTGCTCCTCCGCGCCCCCTCCTCGCCGCCGCCGCTGCCACAGCCGGGACGGCCGGCCTCTTCCCCGCCCTCCCAGGACCACTGGTGGGGTCCTTGCCCCGCGGCCGAGGGAGGAGGGAGGAAGGTCGAAGAAGAGCCGATGGGGAGGTCTAGGCTTGCCCTCTGTAGTAACAGCCCTTCCAGGCTGCGCTCAGCGCAACTGACAAAGGCGGACTGTGAGCCTTGTGCCAGGCATCCCCAGAGGGAGACCCCCCACCTCCCTACACGACCCAGGCAGTGGGTGATTGATGAGCGCTCCTGAGTCCGCGCGGGTGTTGCGTAAATGGTGGGCCCCTCCACCCCACCTCGAAACACAGACAACAGGGCGAGCAATGTGCATTACAGTGCTGCCGGTGAATCTCTTCTCCCCGGTGGACCCTGGGAGCTAAGCAGGAGAAGGGGAGGGAAAGTCCAGTTTCCCATTGATCCCCTTAAATGAGGGCTGGGGTACCACCCCTTCAGGTGTGGAAGGGCAGAGTTTGTTAGCCCCTTTGGTTGGTGAGGACAGCCCCAGGAGGGCCCCAGAGCTGCTTTCTCTTTGCAGATAGAAGTTAGGCAGCTGAGGGCTCTGCTGAAGAGGTCTAGAGAAAGATGAGCCCAGAAGAGACCTCAAGGCAGGCCTGGGACCTGGGTACAAGCAGAGTTAGGCTTTGCCTGTGAGTTCGAATGGGGCCTGAGATCTTGTGATCCTGTAAGTTGAGGACACGAGGCCTGGCTCCAAACCAGCCTTTTCAGTCTGCTCTGGCTTGGATATTAATAAAGTGGGCCTGACACCTTGTCCTTTGAGAGGCCAAGTGGCTGGAACAGGGTGTGGGTCCCGTATCTCCCCTTCTGAGTGGATTTCCTTGGCTGTGAAATGGGGGTTCTTTCAACATGTGAGGAACACCTGCTTTGTGCTAATATCTGTCTTAGTTGCTGGGGCTCCTGCCTGCAAGGAGCTTTAAGTCTAGAGTTGGGAGAGTGGAACAGAGAGAAAAGTGTCTTTGGTTGGTGCCACTAATGCCAGGCACACACATTTCATGTTTAATGGTCAGAGCAGTCTTGCTTCCCATTCTGCAAATGGGAAATCTGAGGCTCAGCCCAAGCCAGAGCCGCAGTACACACTAGAGTGGTAGCTGGGATATGCCCATTCCATCCTCCACACAGGGTGGACTCCTCAGGAGCCTGGGGGGACATGGAAAGCTCTCCTGGGAGATGGTTGGGAGTCAGAGTTAACTAGATAGAAAGGGAGTGGGCATTCCAAGCAGGGAGGAGTGTGAAACAGCCCACAGTTAGGCCAGCAGGAGCTAACAGCATGTGTGGGGGAGCCCTGGCATAGATTGGATGGAAGAGGGCGTGGACTGGAGGGGTTTGACCTTTATTCTTCAGGCCTTGGGCTGCCTCAAAGACAGGGGAGAGATGTGTTCTGATTCTGCTTGAAGATCCTGTGAGGTAGGAGGGGTGGCCTTTAGGGGCTGGGGGCTGCTCTGGCCAGTGGCAGGGGTTAGGTGAATTCGAGTGCCTCGAGATGTCACCACCCCTCTTTCCCTCCTCCCCCACCTGTGGTATGTGGGGAAGGGTGAGGGTCCTGCTTCAGTGATTGAAAGAGTCCATCACTTTTCCCAGAGTGGGTCAGCCTTCAGCCTCCTATGTGGCCTGGCCAGGAGCTCTTCTGATCCCTCCCATCCTCCTGTGGGCCACTTGACCCAGTTGTGACTTTACATTTGGGGAGTGTCTTGGTTGCTGCCCCTTGAGGGTTGGAAAGCTTTGGCATGCAGTAGGCTCTGAGCAAATGTTTGTAAGCCAATGACAGAGTGACTCTTGGTCTAACTATGGACCCTTTGCCCCAGGCACATCCCTGGGCAGGAGGCTACTGGAGGGAGTGCAGGAGGTAGCCTCTGCCCATCCTCAGACAGACCCTGTCTTCCCAGAGGAAGAAACTTTCTTCCCCGACCCCTTGGAAACAAGGTGGGGGGCTCCTGAGTTGCCATAGTCCTGAGTTCACGACTCTCCCTGCTATCCCCTTTCCCCCACCCCCTCGGGTAGCAAACAGAGGCGGCCTTGTTCCTGCTCCCATAGAGCTGCCCTGTTCTCCTCACACTAAAAATGGAAACCCCCAAGCTATTTCGGGAGCAGTGCCCAGCTGGGCTGTGGCCATGGCTCCCCTGCTCCCACCAGGCGGCCGGACCCTCCTCCGAAACTTATGCCCAGTCCACTCACTCCGGGACAGTCTCAGCAGCACCTTGGTGGGGCCTTGGCGGGGAGGAGCCGACCCTAGCTGAGGGAAGCTCTCCCTCAGGCAGACTGGCCTCTGGGTGGTGGGAGGAGCTGGGCAACGTGGCCTGGGCAGAGGCGAGTAGGGGAAATATCTCCCGGCCTGGCCTGGGAGCAGCACTTCCCCAACCTGGTGCTCCTGGCTGGGGACCACCCGGGGCTGGGGAAGATGGTGTTACCATGGTTTTCTGCTTCAGCAGGCCTTAGCTGGGGCCCACAAGGAGGGATCTGTGAGGAGAACAGGCACCCAGGGTCTGAGGAGGTCCTGGGGATAGACATGGTGACTTCCTCTGGGACAACCCTCCTCCAACCCTGGGCCCTGGCTCTGCTCTGACCTGCAGGAGGAGAAATAATAGCAAGAGATGCCCTGGCTTCCACACCCCTGTAGGACTTAGGGCTCAAGCAGGGAAGTGTGCACGAATCTGTATGCATGGGTATCTGAATGTGGGTGGTGGTGTATATGTCTTTGCTGGGGGGTGTGACATGCCCTTGCGCGGAATGCCTATTTGTACGTGTGTGTTCCTGCGTGTAAGGAGGCTGTGTCTTTGTGTGTTTAAGTGTGTGGTACGTGGGTTGTGTTCCTATGTGTGTCTGTGCGATGTGGACATGCCATATCTGTATGTATCTGCACGTGTGCAAGTGCCCGTGTGCTTGTGTATGGGTGTGCACCTGCAGGGCCGGCGGCATGTCTGCTTCTTGGTGTGTGCAAGCCTGTGTCCGTGTCTGTGCCAGTGGCAGTTTGGGCTAGACAGCTCCTGGCCTGTGTGGAGGGTGTATAGCGGGGTGCCCTAAGAGGACAGAGTTTGGGCAGAGGGTGAGAAAGAGACAGTAGCTACGAAGGGAGAAGGGGCTGCAGAGGACAGGGCCATGCTGGGGGCCTGGCTGGGCCCCGCCTGCCATGGGGCTCCTTCCTAGTTGCCCTTTCCCAGGCCCTGAGGGTGCCTGGTTCCGCTGCCCTCCCCCTCCCTGTGTGGGCTCTGAGGAGGCGTCCCCTGTGGAATGTGTTTGGTGGCCGAAGGCCAGGCTGGGCCCAGTTCCATTGGCAGGCTGGGCAGCGGGAAGGGGAGCCCGGGCTCCCACATGCCTGCAGCCCAGCCCCCAGCTTCATGCTCTGCTATCTCCCTGGCTAGGTGACTCCCACACAGGTCATGCTGTTGTCTCCTGATCCAGCCGGCCCTGCCAGGTGAGCCTGACCTCACACCTAGGCACCTGGGAGAAGTGTGACTCCTGCTTCTTAGGGCTCTCCAAGGTGGCATCCAGTCATTTAGGTCCCAGTCCTGGCAGCCTCAGTCTCCCTCATCTCTTCATTGGTTTTGTGGATTCCTTCTGGATTCCTGGCCTGAACAGCCCTTCATCCAATTCTTGCTCTGCTCTAATGTGCAGATGGCCCATGGGACCTTGCCCTCCCTCTTTCCCCCCTGCAGGCAGCTGACATCTGTGCAGAGGGGTCCTCTCCCTCCTCGGGGTTCTGGGCCCCTCCTTCCCATCACCTGCTCTCCTGCCTCTCCAGGCCCTGGTCCCTGGGGATGGGATGTTTCTCACATCTCTACCCCTCTAGCCCCTTACCCTCGGACCCTGTGGTGACACAGGGCAGTGCAGGGAGAAGCGGGGGTGGGGTAGGATGGAGGTCTCCTGAGAGAATAGTGCTTGCAGGAAATGGACAGTGTTGAAGTTTCCAGGAAAGATCTCCTGACCCCTTGCTAGTGTGCAATCCTGGGGTCCTCCTGGACCACAGTGCTGTCAGCCTAGGCCTCCTCTGGTCACTCCCCCGGTTAGGAGGGGCATCTTGGCAATGTCACGGGCTTACCTCCCACAGTAGCCCCTCAGCACTCCATCTCTCTCCTTACCAGGTGACCATGCCTGCCCTCGGCCCAGCTCTTCTCCAAGCGCTCTGGGCTGGGTGGGTCCTCATGCTCCAGCCCCCTCCACCAGCTGCTTTCACTCCCAATGGCACGTATCTGCAGCATCTGGCACGGGATCCCACCTCAGGTACCCTCTACCTGGGGGCCACCAACTTCCTGTTCCAGCTGAGCCCTGAGCTGCAGCTGGAGGCTACGGTGCCCACTGGCCCTGTGCTAGATAGCAGGGACTGCCTGCCACCTGTGATGCCTGATGAGTGCCCTCAGGCCCAGCCTACCAACAACCTGAACCAGCTGCTCCTGGTGAGCCCAGGGGCCCTAGTGGTGTGCGGGAGTGTGCACCAGGGGGTCTGTGAGCTGCGGCACCTGGGCCAACTTGAACGACTACTGCTGCGGCCTGAGCGGCCTGGGGACACCCAGTATGTGGCCGCTAATGACCCTGCAGTCAGCACGGTGGGACTGGTGGCCCAGGGCTTGACTGGGGAGCCTCTCCTGTTTGTGGGGCGGGGATACACCAGCAGGGGCGTGGGGGGTGGCATCCCTCCCATCACAACCCGGACCTTGTGGCCACTGGACCCACAAACTGCCTTCTCCTATGAGGAGACGGCCAAGTTGGCCGTGGGCCGCCTCTCCGAGTATAGCCACCACTTTGTGAGCGCCTTTGCACGTGGGGCCAGTGCCTACTTCCTGTTCCTGCGGCGGGACCTGCAGGCTCAGTCTAGAGCCTTTCGTGCCTATGTGTCCCGAGTGTGCCTCCGGGACCAGCACTACTATTCCTATGTGGAGTTGCCTCTGGCCTGCCAGGGTAGCCGCTATGGGCTGATCCAGGCTGCAGCTGTGGCCACATCCCTGGAGGTGACCCAGGGGGAGGTACTCTTTGCTGCCTTCTCCTCGGCCGCTCCCCCCACTGTGGGCCGGCCTCCGTCAGCAGCTGCTGGAGCATCTGGAGCCTCTGCCCTCTGCGCCTTCCCCCTGGACGAGGTGGACCGCCTTGCTAACCGCACGCGAGATGCCTGCTACACTAGGGAGGGCCGCGCCACGGATGGGGTGGAGGTGGCCTACATCGAGTATGACGTCAATTCTGACTGTGCACAGTTGCCTGTGGTGAGTCCCAGCTCGTCCCTGTCTGGCATTCATGGCCAGGCAGCTGCCCGAGGAGTCCAAAGGGAAGCTGGTGGTGTGGGGGCTGATCAGGTCAATGGATGTTATGTGCTTCCTTTGTGTCTGGGTGATGGAGATGCCTTACAAAAATCTTGGCACTCAGGGGACAGAGGGCCATTCAGAGTGGGGCTTGGACTGCTTGCTGCAGAGGTGGTATTCGTGTAGGTGGACTGAAGGTGTTTGGGGTCCTAGGGTATGGGGCAGGGACCTAGAATGTGGGAAGATGGGCCCTGTTGTTTTACGTTATTGAGCAAGAGAGGCAGGTGAGGTTGAGGCTTGTTTGGCTCGAGTCTCTGGATAGATAACACAGGGGAGAATCCACAGCTAGGGGGACTGAGTGAGGAAGAGGTGGCAGGGACCCAGGGGAGTGGACCTGGACATGAAGACGCAAGCTTTGAGAGGCTTTGGGCAAGTGGTCCGGGGGAAGGCTGAGTGCGTACCCTGGGGGAAGGCCGAGGGTGTGGGAAGGTGGAGCCCCAGATAGGTGGGGATCAAGAGCGGGGTAAGGGGCTGCTGGAGATAAGCAGCTGAGGCCCCACTAAGGATGCAGCTGTGGGCACCATCAGGGAGGGCTGGCAGAGACACTAGGGGTGGGGATGAGGCTGTCCAGGGGCTCCTTAAGGGAGGGGTGATGGAATAAGGCCGTCCAGAGAAGAGAGTCATTCAGCAAAAGCTGGCTGGGCCAGGGGATGGGGATGTCCAGGGAGGGCCTTACTGGTACTTCTTGCTGCCTATAGGATACCCTGGATGCTTATCCCTGTGGCTCAGACCACACGCCCAGCCCCATGGCCAGCCGTGTCCCCCTGGAAGCCACGCCCGTTCTGGAGTGGCCAGGGATTCAGCTAACAGCTGTGGCAGTCACCATGGAGGATGGACACACCATTGCTTTCCTGGGTGACAGTCAAGGACACCTACACAGGGTGGGTCCACAGGAAGTACCGGGCCCTGCCCCAGGGTCTAGAGGGAATAGGTTGCTGGTGACCCAGCCTGGGAGGAGCTATGCCTGTGACCCCTGGGACACACCCCTGGCCCTAAGGCTGGGAGAGATGACTTAAGCTTCTCTTCCCAGAGCTGGATGGTATTTACCTGTGATCTCCCCCACCCCCTGCCCAAGGGCTGGGTGGGATGACTTGTACTAGCAGAAAATTCTGCTTGTAGATTGCTTCGTTGTGGGAAGAAGAGAGGGCCTTGGGCCTATGGCCGTGGACTTGGGTCCCAGAACTTGTGGTCTCTGATCTCAGGTCTACTTGGGCCCAGGGAGTGATGGCCACCCATACTCCACACAGAACATCCAGCAGGGGTCTGCGGTGAGCAGAGACCTCACCTTTGATGGGGCCTTCGAGCACCTGTATGTCATGACCCAGAGCACAGTGAGTGCCAGGATCTGGCTGCTGGGAGGGGCCTTAGGCAGGGCCAGGGACCCATATGTGGAGGAGTCACTGGTGTTTGGATTGCTGTCACAGCTTCTCAAGGTTCCTGTGGCTTCTTGTGCTCAGCACCTGGACTGTGGCTCTTGTCTCGCTCACAAGGACCCATACTGTGGGTGGTGTGTGCTCCTTGGCAGGTCAGTGCTCCACCGACTCCTGACCCATTCCCCAACCCCAACCCCCACCTCCTGCCCTCCCTGGTCCTGCATAATGGCCCTGTCCAGTATTCCTGGTCCTTGGCCCTTGACTTGCAGCCCACGACCCCTGGATGCCCCAATCCCCTACCTCCATTCTCCATCCTGGGCATCAGTGCCTTGCCAGGGCAGACGTAGCCTAGTGTCATGGCCCACCTGAGGATCCCGCCCAGGTCCCCAGTATTGGAGGTGTCCCTGCTCCGTGAAGGTACATCCTGGTCATTCTCCTGCAGGTGCAATCGCCATTCCGAGTGCTCACGGGGACAGGGCCCAGAGCGGTGGCTGTGGAGCTTCCAGCCTGAGCTGGGCTGTCTGCAAGTGGCAGCTATGAGTCCTGCCAACATCAGCCGAGAGGAGCGGAGGGAGGTGAATGAGCAGGGCAGGCACATGCCTCGTGGGGAGGACTCTGGTGATGGGTCAGGACCTTGCATTTTAATGTCAGATGCTCTAAATACCATGTGGCCCTATACAAGTTGCTTGTCTTGGGGCCTTGCTTTCTCTGTCTGCTTCTAATCCAGGCTAGAGGGCATTTGTGAAGGCTTGAGGGCTGGTGGCCACTGTGCCCCCTCACATTGGGTGCTCTGGAAACACAAGCCCTGGTCTGCTGCCTGGTGGCTCCAGCAGCATGTCCTGGCCTCTCTGTCCAGGTTTTCCTGTCAGTGCCTGACCTGCCACCCCTGTGGCCAGGGGAGACGTATTCCTGCCAGTTTGGGGATCACCAGACTTCTGCCCTGCTGACCAGTTCTGGTGTGATGTGCCCTTCCCCGGACCCTAGCGAGGCCCCAGCACTGCCAAGAGGAGCCGGTGGGTGAGAGAAGGGGCCAGCCCTGGGGCCTGGGAGCCCCACCCTCCTCCCATCTTGCTCCAGGAGGTGTGGTTGGGGTGACGTGTGATTCCGAGTGGGGATCCCTGAAATAGCATTTTTCTCTGGGCCCCCTGGCTAGTCCTCAGTCCCCTAAAGTGCCCATTTTGTGTCCTATGGGCTGTGTTCCCCAGATCCCGGGTGCTAACCCCACTCCTCAGCCTGGGCCCTCTCTCCCACCCTGCAGACCACGTGTCAGTGAGCGTGGAGCTCAGGTTTGGCGCTGTGGTGATTGCCAAAGCTTCACTCTCCATCTATGACTGTGCAGCAGTCTCTGAGCTCCGCCCGTCTGCACAGTGAGTTCCTCCCCGACACCCCCAGCACCCGGGCTGCCCCGTGGCGACCTCTGCCCCATGGCTGTGCTCTGTGCAGGTGCCAGGCCTGCGTGAGCAGCCGCTGGGGGTGTAACTGGTGTGTCTGGCAGCAGCTGTGCACGCACAAGGCCTCATGTGACGCTGGGCCCATGGTGGTTAGTCAGCAGGTGAGTGGGATCTCCAGCTGGGCCCCACAGGGGTTTGGGGTTCCCTTTGTGAGGGTTTCTCTGATGGCCCGGGGTCTGTGTGCCTGCCTGCCCATGTGAGGCTCTGTTGTGAGCACCCGAGCTGCTGTGTGTGACGGACTCACTGGAGAACAGCTGCTGGTGTCCCGCCTGTTTCGGGGAGAGGACCTTTGTAGCTGAGCGGCAGGGGAGGTCTGGGCCTCAGGTCCCGCCTCAACACAGATGCCCCTGGAGCCTGCCCTCCCCGCCCTCCTTTGGAGAATTAACGGGCTGTTTTTGTTTCTCTTTTCCTTGGTCTCCTTTCCTCTTAACACACCCTTTGCCTGCCTGCCACCTGTTCCCGCGCCTGCCTGCTGAGTGGCCCCTCCTGTCTTTCTCTGCTTCCCCCTTCAGAGCCCGCTTCTCTCCCCAGCCCCTCCCGCAAGAGATGTACCCACCCCCTTCCCACCTGAAGCCCCCCAGACCCCAGTCACCCCTGCTCCTGACACCCTTCCCGTGGAGCCTGGTGCCCCCTCCACAGCCTCGGATGTCCCACCTGGGGATCGCCCTTCCCTGCTCAGCCCCTGGGGGCCGGGGGCGGGTCCTGGCCCCATACCTGCCTCAGTCTCCACAGAGTCACCTCTCCATGAGGAACCTCCCCCTCCC